TCAATTTTTATCACTGTATGGACTGAATATTAGTAATCTTTACATCGTTTATAATAAGCTATCGGCCACAGTGCTTTGGATTTCAAAGAAAAATCGAATTATCATTATTACTTTTGGTTTGATTGGATCCTGAATATTAGTCATTATTCAGTAAATAACTATGGATAAGTCAGAAGTTCTGGAGAAAATGTACAATTTGGGAAACATGCTCTTTTAGATGGTGCTAATTTACAATTAAAACAATCTTTCAATTATATGGAATTTATTGAAGACACCTCCTAATAGTTTATAATGTTTAGTTAACTTGCTCAATAGTTCACTGTATAGCAATCTATATACATATGATGTACAAATCGATATATTAGAAAATAACTACAAAGAAGTTTAACTAATTAATATTACTGATGCATCAGTTTCGTTTGGTAGTTTAGCTCTTAGAACCTATAATATCACTAGGCTACGTAAAGGAAACTAGAAGGAAAGCGATTTGAACCTGTGATTTATTGGTTGTAATATGAGTGCTTTAATTACTAAATTATAGCTCAATAATAAATTATTTAAAATATACTTTCGTTTTATAGCATTTAGGAAAATACTAGACATAGAATTAAGTCAGTATGAATCCATCTGTTTGTAAAACTAACTAATTCTAGTGAAGTTTAGCACAGTTGTGTACATCAGTTCACTGATAAACTGATACTGATTTGTTCTCAGTTGTGAGTCGGATACGTTTAAATTATGTTTATTAAGTGATTCTAGATAGTATAAATTTATAAGACCAAAACTTTCATGAAGACTGAAAAAGAGTTTATTTGTATATATTGGTATATAAAGTAAGAAGCACTAATACAAGCTTTCTTGAGATACATTAATGAATATACTGTAGTATATTATGGTATCATTCACAACTACGGTAATCCTAGAATACAATAATAGAATTGTAAAACAATATTATATTAACAAACGGACATCTTAGGGTTGAAAATTACTTTATAAAGTGAAATTGAGGTTAGTAAGTAGTACAGTGAACGAAGACTTGATGAAGAAAACCAATTTATTTACAGAATGTCTTTGTGAAATATAAAAAAACATACATTAAGTACTTTATTTGCACATTATCCATCAATTCTCTCTTACAAACTTCATCGTTCCTTCATTTCTGCTGTTCTTAATATTACTCTCTGTTTATACTCCTATTTTTCTTCAATTCGATCTTCTTAACCTCCTGATGCTCTGAATTCTATTTCTGATTGGTGTTATATATTACTTATGTCAACAAACATAAGTAGTATATAGTACAGTAGAAAGGGACAAATATCAAAGATGGAACCATTCAACTTACAAATTATCCTTTTATGAAATTGGATTTTGGAACTATTGTTATCACGTTATATTAATTTGTAAAAGTATTGTATTACAATTTTCGAAGAGTCCTTACAGAATAAGTGAAGTTAGATTCTTTATCAAAAAAATTACTAAATTTATTAAAGTAGCAACTGAATTTTCCATAGCGCAATGTCTCAAAGTTCAAACCGTTACTTGAAACTGATTGTATTATAAAGCAGTGTATACAATAAAATGTCTATAATAAATTCCAGTTTTTATAGTTAGGTCTTATTTTTCTATGGAAAGAGGTATTCTTTAAAACTAACAGAATCCTTATGGTGGTCTTAGTTGATTTTCAATTTTACTTATGAAAATTACTCATTTTTCTTCATATTAAACGTCATCCTAGTGAAAGAAGACATAATTTCTGGAAACAAACCCCACGTCTGTACTCATTTTAGGATATATTAAGAAAGCTATTTTCAGGACAAAATGAGTAAGCAAATAATGAATAGAATGAAGAAGCGCAAATACCAAAATAGGCTATTTTTCTGAGTCACATATTACTGTATGGTAAATAAAACAAACTAGATCATCATAGATGGTATTTATGCTTTTTAAATATATTTTATATATAGAAAGTTAGTGAACATACACTTCTTCATCGCATTATTCAGTCATCATTCTTATTTTATTAGGTGGTTGGATGTAGTTGACAGTCGGGTTTCCTACCAACAACCACCTAACACCTCAGTATAGTACACACGATATCTAGTCCCATAGGCTAGTGACTATATTGCAAGTTGATTGATAAGATTCGACCAGGTATCAATTCAGTGATAAACCATTCATAATTATCTGTGGATTTTTTATTCTTGGTAATTTCATCTTTCGTCTATGTAATTCATACTTTTTAATACAAGACTATGTTTATTTTTCAAAACACTAATTAAGTAATGATGTTATGAAACTTAGTTTTTGTCTATTATGTGCCAAATTTAAGTAACAAATAATAACAGAAAAAGTTACCAGACATAAACAACAAACGACCAAGACAGATGAAAGAACCGAAGAAGAAAAGACATAGAATAAGACAAAAAAACACATCACAATATCATACGTTTTGGTAAAGAAATCGTATTATATTACTGTGTATAACATTTTAAATGTAGTCAGTAAATGAGGACAAGGCAAGACAAAATTATACTTGCTTTAGTTAATAAATAGAGCGTAGGGAAAAAAAGTGTTATCGTACATATGTATATTATTTAGTTGACCTTTCTATAATCACTCTCGTTTGTTTTTTTCGCACAATTTCAAGAAATCGGCTAGTCATCGTTTTGTATTAAACTAGGTTAAATTAAAACAAGTACAAAATTAAGATAGTCAATCATATTGTGAATTCACTTTTGTAAAACAAAACAAAAAATAGAAATAGTATCATGGACTATTGAGGGAACTGTAAATGTGGGGAAATTTCCTAAAGATAAAGAAGCATAGAACAGATCGGTTAAACAAAATTGTACACTTACATACTGAAGATATGAAGTGCGCTTTTCGAGCAGAAAAAAAAACAAAACAAAACAAATATCTGATAGCCAGTTTCTTCCTATTGTTATATTTAGTTATTTTTAATAAACTATCTTCAAAATGACAAGTGTACATGTATATAGATTACATATATTTAAACGTAAGTAACAAGAAGACAGGATCTCGAATGATGGAAGTACAAAAAAATGTCTACATCTAGATTTTGGTCAATTAATAGCTGATTAATACATATTATATAGAAAATGACTCAATTTAGTATCAATTCATTTGTTTACTTTCAACAGTTGAGATCATGATTCAATTGAAGTTAGAACACCATGGAAAACCTGGGAGCACTGGTCGGCCGCTTCGTCCTATTGTGGGACTCCCCAGTAGTGGGCGTCCACGACCCAGCCTGGCGGGATTCGAACACAGGCGCTTAACCAACTAGACCACTGAGCCGGCTGGCATCCAACGGTGTTAATGTCTAACTTCAACTAATCCATGAAATTGAGCGACATATCCACCACTGTCATCAGTGAGCTAATATCTCACAACTGACCCGGTTGAACTCCACTGGTCACTCCAGGATTTGCAACTTGAAGTCAGTCACTAGTGAGCATATGTTGGTTAGTATCAGAAGGGGTTTTGCGGAGATTGTAGTAATTTCAACAATTGAGATCATGAGTTAATTGAAGCTAGACTACCATGGAAAACCTGGGAGCACTGGACGGCCGTTTCGTCCTATTGTGGGACTCCTCAGCAGCGCGCATCCACGGCTGTTGAAATTACTACAATCTCCACAAAACCCTTCCTGATATTAATCATTTGTTTACTTCTTCAAATATACAATGAATTTTACATTCGAAAAATAAAAGTGGATACCAATATAAAGGATTGTTATAAACAAGATAGAATAATATTGATTAGATGATTTTTTTTCTACTGTCAAATAAATTTTGATTTGTATCAATCCAATAAGCGCATTTCATTTGATAGAACTGACAACTCCATGTTTGTAAATTAATTGAGAAACACAATGATACATGAAATATGTGGTTATTATTTTTGATAGAAACTATGATTCACTAATATACTTTGGAAGAAATAAATTTTTCTTTTTAAATCAAGGCTACCATAAAGCTTTTTTCTTTTTTTCAGTAGTTTGTCAGTTTATTATACTTTTACTGGTAAGTGATTGTTTGTTTGTTTGTTTTTAATCGAAATATTTGGAAATGTTTCTCAATGTTAATCATTATTATTGGATAAATAATTCTGGATCAGTCAGAGGTTCTGGAGAAAATGTACAATTTGAAAGAAATGCTCTTTAAGATAGTGCTAATTTACAATTAAAACTGTTATATCTAGAGCTTATATTCTTGATATACCGCGTGTAACTTGAGTACTAGAATGCTAGAACCCTTCCAAGTCGCAATGAGAAGACAGAAGACTAGTGAAAGGAATGTAATTCCAGACAGTGTTGACGATTCTAGTCGAAAATACACTCATTTATATATTGATTGTACACTTATTTTGATTAATAATTAGGATGAAATCACATATATGAAACATACTTAGAGTTATAACAAATCACATACTGAGCATAGTTTATGCCAATGGAATACAAGAATATTGCATATTATACAGAATAAAATATCATACGAGAAAAGAAAACCAAATACTACACTGAATGTTTATTACATTGAATCAAAATGGAAGTAATCTTCAACTAAACTCATAATGAGTAAATCAATCGAATTTTGATTTTTTCTTTCCATCATATCAAAAACAATCTTCCAATCATATGAAATTTATTGAAGACACTTCCCAATAGTTTATAATGTTTAGTTAACTTGCTCAATAGTTCACTGTATAGCAATCTATATACATATGATGTACAAATACTAAGAACAATGTTATCGTATTATCGATATATTAGAAAATAACTACAAAGAAGTTTAATTAATTAATATTACTGATGCATCAGTTTCGTTTGGTAGTTTAGCTCTTAGAATCTATAATATCACTAGGCTACGAAAGTGCCTGAGAAAATCATTAATATTATGAAGAATTCTTGAGATCAACTATACTAAAAACTAGTGCGTGGAACACAGCTGACAGACAGATTTCAAGTAAGGATGGGAGTCAGACAAGAGTGAAACCAACTTCCATCTGAAGAGGAAATTGTGAGAAAACGTGGGAAGTGGATTGGACACATTCAGGAAATCACCAAACTACATTACGAGGCAAGCGCTAACTAGGAATCCTGAATGAAAACGATAAATAAGAAGGCCAATCAATACACTGTGTCGAGAATTGGATGCAGATATCAAAAGTATGAGTAGCATCTGGAAAGAACTGGAAAGGATTGGGCAGGACAGGATTGGATGAAGAATGCCGATTGGCGGCCTATGTTCCGCTATGGGGAGAAGGTAACAGGCGTAAGTAAGTAATTATTACAAATTGTGTGCTGCTGCTCTATTTTATCATGATATCTGAACTCTATTCAGGCACAATATTGAGTGATTCACATAGCAATCTTAAAAATTATAAGAGGGAACTCAACAATGGTAATTAAGCTTCATGGCATAAGCGATCCTATTTTAAAGAAAAGTGGACAATTGCTTTAGTACAACGCTAAAAATCTTTCTTGGTCAACTAAAGGAACATTGTATATAAAGCCGATTTTTGACATTAATAGAATGATTGGAGTTTAATCTTAGATTATATTTCAAAAGAACCTCATGGTTCATAAGGCAATTTGTTCATTTTAAATGAACTACGAAATCTTGTATAAAGTTTGGGAAAGTCTTTAGTTTCCCGTTTAGAGAAGTTTCCTTGAAAAAGTTTAAAAATAGATCCTAACAATTAAGGGTAAGGCAAGTATGTAAGATATTGAACTACGTATAAGTGAAGGCATACGGTATAAGTGATTTCAAAGAAGATAGTTTATCTGTAAAACTAGGAGGAAAACCTACTTTATCTAACAAAGTATAACAGCTTCATGTTTAAACACATAGAAAGAAACAAACTACAATATACTTATGTACACGAGATTTCGGATGTAGCTAATTTTACTTATTTTTTAAAAGTTATGCTGTGTTAGAAACCAAGTTGAGCTATATTCAAAATAATAACACATTATAACATAAGTAACCTATAGTTAATGCTTATCGAAATCTGATGTTTACACCAATAAAAAAATGAAGAGCACTTGATAGATATTTCTACCTGATTATGACTTCTTATCAGTTTGCACTCATTAGACTATGAATATAGTTCAGCTATAATGTTTTTAAGCTTTGGGATGAGTATAATTTATTTAAGCTACCTAATTATGACTCGGTAATTTATTCATTCGATCTCAATCTATTAGTGATACTATGCCATTCTTATCAGATATTATTAGTTAATCACTGTCTTATTGTAGTGAACAGAACATGGGCGTGGATGATCGAATTATATTTAGCACAAAATTACAAATGTACTTGGTAAAATAGAAAAATCATACTATAATAATTAATTTGCAAAATGTTCAATAATTGTCTCGAACCTCATTGTTCTTGCATTTCCATACTAATTACTTTCTATTCCCGCTCTTCCTTTCTTGATCTTTTCCATCTTCTGCCTTCAGATATTACATTCCTGACTCGCGTCATATACTACTTATATCAATATAAATAGCACGCGTTACATTATCTCTATACTTTGTTAACTCCATAGGTTAAAGATTCTTATTGAAATTTTTAAAAAAAATCTATCTAGAATTTAATTATTACTACTTTCACGATCATCATTAAACTAAGTCGGTTCCTGAAGTTTTGTTTTCTATAGTTTCAAGTTATTTCAATCATGAATCTACTTTAAATGAAAGGTTACAAACTGAGACAAAACAGATGTTTAATAGTATACAGTTTTTAATAATTATTCACTTGATATTGGATATGATGATGATGATGAAAAATTTCGTCAACTTATACAGAAACACTTGCAAAATTTACTAATGTATTTACTCATAAACACATACATATTATTTATCATTGTCTGGTAGGTCAGTCATAGAAATCAAACTAATGAATTTATCTACATTCACGTTTAATGACAATCATTTTGACTATGCTCTTTGAAGACTGAATAACTTTATCATCTTGTCCACTTGATTTATTTAGATAGTAATGAAATAGATAACAGAAGTTAGTTATAAATGATTTGTCTTCTTTTATGATGATAATTTTATCTTAATTTAAACAAGCTGAATTTCTGGACATCTTATCCATCAAGATAAATATTGTCTGTCTATTGATAAGAATAAAATACATGAGTTTAAGTAAATGATTTTCACGAGATTTTAGACAAGTACTTTTTGATGGGTAAAATAAAAAGGTCACTCTTTTTTAATGAATGACCCTTTCAAGTCTAGAATGTATTGATGAAGGTGTAAAATGCAATTATTTTGATCTTTTCCTGATGTGATGGATTTTGGTTTAAGGAATTGTTTATAATTTTTCAATGTTATTCTATAATTCATATGAATGAAAAAGACATTTTAATGTTTACAAAAATAAGTTTACCTAGTAAGTTTATTGGATGTGATTGTCCAGTTTAATGAAATTCAAATTTTCTTATTTTAAAAAAGTACGTACTGAATGTTAGTACTAAATCATGAAACGATTAACTCAATTTGCGACAGATGATATCCTGTAAAAGGTTTATTGTTAAAGCCATCAAAATAGTGGGTTTATGACGTTATAAATATTGTGCAAGTTGATGGTGGATAAAGAGGAAGAATGTATTTGTAAAATCTCAGCCAAAGAATTTGAAGTAAATCCAACGTTTCGCCTGGCAATCTGGTCCAAGCTTGGACTATTCGTTCAAATTTAGACGAAAGTTCTTATTGATAGTGGATAGATCTAATTATTTGTACTATTCATAATACCATCACTGGCTCATCTTGTTTTCCATAGTTGTTTGATGAGTAACTATTTCTAGTCATAAAAAGACATTAAAAAACAATATTTCTACGCCACTCACACAAGTCTTTACTGATGTGATTTGGAATGATAAATATCAGTATTATATTTGCTTTGCCTTTAGGTTTTAAACTTAGCAGTCTTTTTGCACATAAAACTAAAGTTATACAATTGTGAAGAGACTATTTATTTGTTTTACGAAAATTTAAAACATGTAAAATTATGCAAATTCTCATTTTATTTTATCATTTCAGAGGTATAATTGGGAAAGTACACTACTTATTTTATCTTATTGAATAACATATATAAGCGAACAATTGTTTCCAATTAGATCGTCATCAGGCTTTACTCTAATATACATGAATATTTGTACGAAAATGTTAAACCAATCAAGGCAATATGGGTCAATGGTTACAATGAAATAGAATAGGTCACCACACATAATAAGTAAAATTACAAGTTGATAGTAGGAAGATAGGTGTACTGACAGTAGTAAGAATAATAAAACACGATAACAAAAGTCTTATCAATAGTTAAACGTTGAAAATAGAAGGTCAAACGTGGGTAAATAGACTTGGAATAGTCAACACAAAACATTAAAATCATTACGTAATAAGAATTGTGTAAATAATTAGGTAGTGAAGACTACAAACGGCAAGAGGCTGAAAATTACAAACAAATACTAGATGTGAAAATAAGGCTAATGATAACAAAAATAGAATAAAGTAAATAAATAAATAATGATAATAACTATATAAAAAACCGTTAGTTAAGTTATAACTGGCCATGGAAGGAAGAGGGGGGTTACAAATTTTTTCTGTACACATAAATTGGGGTTATATGTATGAATTCCTATGGCTTCAGCTATAATAATAAGCTATCCTACTCATTATATGGTTATCTCAACTAAAATAATTCTGTTTAATTCTGAACTTTATAACCATTAACTCAAACAAACCCTTTTTATACCATTAATGCCAATCTTTTAATGTTGGTTCATACTTCGTTTTAAATTAGTTTAAATTCATTTTGACATTTTTATGCTCTAATTGAAATAACTGTTTGATGCCGAACTGAAAAAGTGAATGTGTCTTATTGGATAGTAGCTAACTAAGCGAACAATTAAGTTCACTTTGGTATTATTTGTTTGAATCTTCCCACTGATGTTTAGGACTGCGATTGATCAGTCACTTGTTGGCATATGTGGATATTATGCGTATTAAACTTCACCCCATTGCATAAACAAGTGGCTATCAGAACTCAGTAGCTAAGTGAACAACGCAATGGCGTTTAAAGCCAACGGTAATGGGTTCCAATCATGGGGTAAACACCAGCGTTGGGATGCAGATACATTCAGATAACGAGTTCCAAATAGGATGAAACGCTCTTCCTGAATTCCACTGCTAGCCACCATCCATCTTTGCATATTGACGAACAATCGTTTTATTACCTCCTTATATTAAATGAATCTTTAAGTAACTCATGTCGGTGATAATAATTAATTTCATAGTAATCCATTTTATATGTACATAAAGAAATGATTACTGTATGACATTTTCTAAATGTTATGATATTTCAACGAGTCATTGTATTGCATAGAATAACTAAAAACAATCACATGTATTCGAAAAGAAACAGAAACAACTGGGTTATCAGCAATAATAAACAAGATTGAATCATGTGATAGTCAATGATAAAAATAGATAATTGTCAACTAATAATTTACATTAATTTGTGTAAAATTAGTGATGTCATTATTTGTTTTATGAATCTTATGTAATAGGATAAGGAAATTATTTTCAACAAACATATGGGATATCAGCCTACTCATAAGTAAATATAAAGATATGACGAAAATTAGAATCGAACGTTAATTTATATTTTAATATACCGTAATTATTAGTGGATGAGATCATAATAATGGATGTTAAACTGTTATCTATTTAGAATACGTCAACTAATATTGACTGTTTGGAGTAATAGTGTTTACCTAACATAATGTTTACATGAAAACTAAATGGAAATATCATAAAGAAATGATGCACAGATTATCAGAAAACGTAATTTCAATACAACTTTACTTGTTGAATTCTAATGGTTAAGTTACTTAGGTTATTTGTTATATTTTTATTTAATGAATAGACTAAAAGTAAATAGTCAAGTAGAAGACATTCTGAGAATTATGAGTTTTGAATTCTCGGAGTTATCACCAGTTTAAATATTGTTGGTAATGATTCAGTCTTATAATTTGTAATCTAAGAGCAAGGCTGAATATTAATTCTTATCATTAATTCAGAGATATTTTTTCTGTTATTAACTCATGAGTAGATCGTTACTATCTAAACCTAATGATAACGAAACAGAACGACATTTACGCGGCACCAAATGCAATTTACTCTGGAAATGATTGTTAGCTTCCAAACGTGTTATATTGAGAAATTACAGAATAATATTTCGACTTTACCGGTTTTTTTTCTCAAATTACATTTAATAAGAAAAAAGTCTACTTGTTATTTTTATAAATTTAAATTAAGGCAAGTATTATTATCCTGAAATTCTTATACCTTCATTTAATTGATTTGATTGTATTAGAAGGAGTTTTGTGGAGATTGTAGTAATTTCAATAGCTGAGATCATGAGTCAAGTGGTTAAGCACTCGTATGCGAGACTAATAGGATCTGGGTTCGAATCCTGCGAGGCAGAGCCGTAGATGCGCACTGCTGTGGAGTTTCGCGATGGGACGAAACGGCCGTCTAGTGCTTCCACGTTTCCCATAGTAGTCTAGCTTCAATTGACTCATGATCTTAACTATTGATTTAATTGTGATTAGGATACAGAACTGAAACACAAGACCCTCTTATGACAATTTTGTTGTCTCTGGGCAAAAGTCAAACATAAATGCATAGTTGAAAAAGTTATTCACTGGATTTTTGGACAATCATTTAAAATTTTTTAAAAAATGGTGATATTTTACGCAGAGTTAAGATAATGACTGAAAAATAGGTTAGTTTACAGGTTCACAATTTCACATTATTCACTACTTAAATGAGTCATTATTTCTTCTAAAAAAACAATAGCAACAGAACATAAATTATCAGTGTTTTATTAGTGGTGGGGTTGATGAGGATGAATATTTCAAAAAGATCATATCGTGATATAAAAAGTGGAAATCACTTCATTCATTTTAAATTACTAAGTTAACAATTTACTTGGCTAAGATCTAGGTTATGCCCTCAATATTTTCAAATGAATGCATAGTAATATATTTTTACATGTTTATTCTGATGACTAGTAATGTCGAAATTCCCAGTTGACAAAGTTTAGATTTGCATGGTTTATTCTACGAACTAACTAGTCGACAATCTGCTTTTTGGACAGTTAATAACGAATCTATTATAATGAGCAGATGGTAAAGTAAATTATTTCAAAAAATGTATGTAGAAGACAACAAATGAAAATGGTTTTATATCTATAATGTCTTTTATACACAGAAAAACTACAGAAGTTAGACATAGTATGTAAATTCTTATTCTGTTTCCTGATATAAACAATAACATCAAAATATATGGATATATTCTATAGATTCGATGAATTTTTTTATTATCGGTATAGGGTTATGGAGATTATTAAATTTTTGATTGAGATCATGAATCGATTGAAGTTAGACCACCACTGAAAACTTGGAAGCACTGAACATTAACACCGTGGGATGCCGGCTCAATAGTCTAGAGGTTAAGTATTCATGCACGACACTAAAAGACCTAGGTTCGAATTCCACGAGAGCGATCGTGGATGTGCACTGTTGAGGAGTCCCGTACTAGCACTAAACGGTCGTCCAGTTCTTCCAGGTTTTCAATGGTGGTCTAACATCAATCGATCCATGATCTCAATAAAAAAATTCGTCTTATCAGATTTAAATTAAATAAATTCAAAACAACAGATGCACAAATTGAATAACCTAAAGACTTTATTATATATATTTATACTTTTAAATCATTATAATGAACATTTGTGAAGGCTAATTTGAATTTATGACATGTTGACCTTTTGATAGTTCAAATTGAGGTAAAATTGAAATGGAATAAACATTACAATTTAACGATACTTTATTCAACAATGCTTAGTTACAATGGTTGAGATCATGAGTCAATTGAAGTTAGACCACTACTGAAAACCTGGAATCATTGGGCGACCGTTTCGTCCTATTGTGGGACTCGCCAGTGGTGGGCGTTCACGATCCCGCTTCGCGAGATTCGAATCCAGGACCTATCAATCTCGCATGCGAGCGCCTAACCATTAGACTACTGAGCCAGTATCAAGTTTTCCTATGGTGGTCTAGCTTCAATTGACTCATGATCTCAACCATTCTAAAAAATTGTCAAGACTCATTCATATATAATTCACACTGTTGAAGTTTTCAAAATGTTTCCCTTTTAAAATTACTGTTTTCTATCTCCGTTTAACAGTTTTTAAAGCATCTAATTATGTGATCACATGTATTAACCTATCAGTTGTTAAAATATTTTGAAATATGTACTTTATAATAATATATTCCTTTGTATGTAATTAGAAAAAAAGAAGTCATGTTGGCGATCATTCATACATTACAAAATAATTTGTTTCCAAAGAACTTTCTTATTGATGTTAATATTTGAAATTTATTTTTATTTCTACATCTGACAATCAGGTGAGTATTCCTATTTTGTTTTTAAATGGAATTTCATTTAATAAAATTAAAAATTGGTAGAAACTGGTTAATTACAGATCAGATGAAATCTGTTGCTAACAGAAATATTGAATTTTTGTTGCTTAACCCCATTAAATAAAATAATATTGACAGAAACTATAAACGTGGTGTAAAGTTGAGAAAACGTTTTTTTTCTTTTTTAATTATTTTTCTTTCAATGGATTTTATCAAACTAAACAATGTTCTCATGTTGAGTAATACAAAGTGTTGTAAGAAAATACAAACAAGAGTTAAGGGGATAGTTATTTTAATTGAATGACTTATAATATTAGTGAACATGTAAATAATTTGGTACATTTTATGTTCTGCATATCTTAGTATAATAGACATTTAAAATTATGAACTCTAATGAATATGCACTAAGATACACATTGTATATATCAGATTTAACAAACTTATCCATCTGTAACTTACTATGCTTTAAACAGATATTCTTTGTAAAAAGTGAGAATTATTAGCTTCTCAAAAAACAAAACAAAAAGAACACAACAACAACATACAAACATATCCTGTTTGGTGAAATTAATTTGATTAAGTTAGCATGAGAAGTATAAGTCTCTAATCAATATGGTATTACTGTAGTGAAGGAGAACACAGGTGAGGACAACCGAGTTGTATTTAGAACAAAATGACAAAGTTACTTGGTAAAATAGAAAAATCATACTATAATAATTAATTTGCAAAATGTTCAATAATTGTCTCGAACTTCGTTGTTCTTGCATTTCCATACCAATTGCTCTCTATTCCCGCTCTTCCTTTCTTGATCTTTTCCATCTTCTGCCTTCAGACATTACTTTCCTGACTCGCGTCATATACTACTTATATCAATATAAGTAGCACGCACCACAATACTAGTCAGGAAAAAATGATGACTTTAATTTTGTAACTGAGTTTGATAACGTAAAATAAAGCTCATGAAAGTAAACATTAGAATGTTCGTTATACATATAGTACTTTTTTATATGAATTAAAAGTTTTATTTTTTGTGATATATTAAGCAAGTAAACTATTTAAAACAATAAGTTTATTCATGCAACTATTGTGGTATCCTAATAAAACATTGGAATAACTTTACTACACTTGACTCCCTAATATAAATTGGTTAAAATACTGTTGTAAATGTAAATAATATCAAGTGAATAAGATCTCAACCTGAACAGTTCTACAAATATTGTTAATTAATTAATATCTTTTGTTTCTTTACTAAGTTGACTATTATCATGAACTAAATTTGTTTAGAGGACTATAGAAAATTGGGGAGAACTGGACAACGGTTATTCTAAGTTTGTGACTTCTCAGAAGCACTCCACCAGGTAAAGGTACTGGACTGAACCAAAAAATGTCGTCTGATAGGAGGAGAAAATCTCCTAATCATTCTTAGCAAATTTACTTCAAAGGAAGATGATGAGGTATTGAGACTGTTTGAGTGTTTCAATTCTAACCTGGTTTAAACCTATGAGGCAGAAAAATGTGACTACCCGAAAAAGTCAGCAGTAAGTGTATGTGTAAGGAGTGAACAGTTTTCTTTTTATGCACAAGATATACAATTTGACATTTTTATAATTGTTTTTCAAACGAAGAATATATAATAACTTTGTAATAAATAAAAAGTTTTCCTTAACTGGATGGATTCCACTGCTTATTCAAATAAAATAACCCTAGAATAAAAATCATGAATACATATATGAACTTCCGACAAATTTCTCCAATTCTTCGATAAGAATCGTTCCTCGTTACTCTGATTGTTTCCGTTTATCTTTTTTCTTACAATAGTTCACTATCTTATTCAATAGAATGATTTTACAACTTTAAGATGGATATGGTTTGTCTAATTAAATGAAAAACTTATTTAGACTTTTGAAGTTGTTTACTGAATAAGTATTATTTATTTAATTATCAAAATTTATTTATCTTATATCATAGGTAAATATCTCATTTTTCAACGAATTAAAAACTACCATTATTTTAGTGACCTTTATCAGACAAACATGACTCATTTGAAAGAGATCTCGTGATATTTAGTGTGACCCAGAAAGAGAGAGGAATATAGTGTTCTTAACCTCTAACCATTGTCTAAAAGTCAGGACATTAAGAGAATCGGATGAACTTTGTCCGAAATATAATTTAAAAATTGAAAAATTGATGTTACATAGAGACTAAGGAGAATATATACGAGAAGTTAAGATTTACTACTAGAACCATATGTAAATTAGATAAAATGAACTTTAAAACTCCACAAAATAATAGGCGTTTCAGAGATTATTTTTTGAGTGCTCAGTAGATTTTAGTGGCTTTCTCCAAATAACCGTTCATGATCAAAATGAGCTTCATGTTGAACAATATCTATAAATCCCCTACAATACTTCATTGACTGCTAATTTATAGCCTAAGAGATAATTCTTGAAGGTTTAGTGTGGGGACAGTGACCGATCAAGTTTAACCGTAACACTAATGAACCAGATATCACAGATGACATTTGATTATCATGCAGTTACATTGTTGGTTGATCATAGATGGAGGAAACAATTATTAGATCTCAGCTTAGAGTTCCATGGCTATCTGATTTACCACAAGATTTGAAACGACTGAATTCAAAACCATATCACTGGTGAGAAGTCCTAAACTAGTGTGGAAAGTCGTCTTATTCTTAACAGTCTTCAGTGGTCCACTGACTTATTTTAATTAGCAATGTAAAACAACTTTACAAAATTAGAAAATGTTTTGAAACTTCAAACACTCATTATTTCATTTTAACATTAAAAAAAACTTTGATGCGATGCTAGTGGTAGAAGGACAGTTCATGTCAGTTATTTGGATAAATGATATTTTTCATGTTACTTTTGTACATATTTATGGTTTAAATTTATAATTAGGATTCATTATTTGATAAATATAATACTCACTCCAAATTTTTTATTCATTTGAGTAAAGTGTAAATCGTTAAACTAACAGTCACATTATAGTATTTGTAATCTCATTTATAATAAAAAAATATGCTGAAAATGTTAACTTGAATTGTTTGAATGTCATCGAGTACGTATAATTTGATAAGGAACAAAATTTTTCTATCCCATAGTAATAGATTACCTTAAAACGTTTATTTATCTGTATAACCTCTGAAATCGTTCAATGGATAAATGTGCAGCTTTTCTCAGATACAGTTTCATATAGCATGATATCATTTCCAAATTTTAAAAAAATTTCAGTATTTTGCAATTACGTATTTGCTACCGAATATATCATAAAGGAAATATCAAGATCCTGAAATACGATTCAGAGAACACTAACCAAATCACACTTGGTGCGGAAAATCTGGAAGAGGCGGGAGGTTTATATACCTGGGGAGCATCATCGATAAACAGGGATTTTCTGATGCAGATTTGAAGGTTTGAATTAACAAAGCGACAACGGTATTCTATGAGCTGTCAAATATTTGAGACTCAAAAGGCTGTCAGATATCGCAATCAGAATTTTCAATATAGACTTCAAGACATTTTGGTTGTACGGAGCTGAAAGTTCGAAAATTACAATCATCATCAAAATGGGATAGGTATTCATTAACAACCGTCTACCCAAGATAGTCTTAATCCACTAGTCAAAGACCACGAGAAATAATCTACTGTGGCTGAGAACAAATCATTTTCCATCTGGAGAGGAGATTATAAGAAAACTATGGAGGTGAATAAAGTACACATTGAGGAAACCATTAAACTGCATCACGAAGCAAGCGCTAACTTGGGATCTTGAAGGGAGATGAAACAGGGGAAGACCAAAGGAGACATTTCGCCGGGACTTTGAGCCAGATATTAGGAATGTGAATAGTTCTCAGAATCAGCTATAAACAACAGGCCGAGATAGGGTTGCATTTAGATCCTTTGTTGGCAGACTATTCTTTAAGAAGTACACTGGGGGAAAGTATGTAAACATTTTACAAAATAATTTGTTATATAAATATGATTTAGTAGTCAGTAATATGATCTGATAACAAACTTATGTTATTACTATGGCTTAAAAGAAAATTCGTCGTAAGGCTAATTATGGAACGAAAGTACTCAACAGTCAGATATTGCCATATTAAAAAACTAAAACTTTAAAAAGAAGAATATATTTGTAAAATCTCAGCGAATGAATTATAAGTAAATCCAACGTTTCGCCTGGCAATCTGGTCCAAGCTTTTTCAAGGAAAATATAATCATCAGAAGGGGTTTGTGGAGATTTTAGAAATTTTCACAGATTTAAATCATGAGTCAGTTGAAGATACTCCTGGAGTTCTAGTGGGAAGCCGTTACCAGTGGAGTTCAACCAGGTCTGTTGTGAGATATCAGCTCACTGAAGACAATGGTATATGGTGGCGCAACTTCGTGGATTGGTTGAAGTTAGACATTAACACCGTTGGATGCCGGCTCAGTGGTCTAATGGTTAAGTGCTCGCGCGCGAAGCCAGTAGGTCCTGGGTTCGAGCCCCGCGTGGTGCGGGATCGTGGATGCGCACTGCTGAGGAGTCCCATACTAGGACGAAACGGCCGTCCAGTGCTTCCAGGTTTTCAATGGTGGTCTAGCTTCAACTGACTCATGATTTAAATCTGTGAAAATTTCTAAAATCTCCACAAACCCCTTCTGATAATAAACATCTGCTCACTAGTGACTGACTTCAAGAGATACTCCTGGAGTTCTAGTGGGAAGCCGTTACCAGTGGAGTTCAACCAGGTCTGTTGTGAGATATCAGCTCACTGAAGACAATGGTATATGGTGGCGCAACTTCGTGGATTGGTTGAAGTTAGACATTAACACCGTTGGATGCCGGCTCAGTGGTCTAATGGTTAAGTGCTCGCGCGCGAAGCCAGTAGGTCCTGGGTTCGGGCCCCGCGTGGTGCGGGATCGTGGATGCGCACTGCTGAGGAGTCCCATACTAGGACGAAACGGCCGTCCAGTGCTTCCAGG